AAAGGAGATCCAGTGTGCACCGAAGAGGCACCAGTGCCTCTGGGAACAAAACGAGCTTACACGAAACAATTTAAAAATAGCAGCAGCACTGAAATTGGTCTAGAGGTGAGCAAGGACTTGACATTAAAGAAAAGATTGGAAAATTTGAATTTCCCAAGATTCCCAGAACCCTATGATCGCACCTTCACCCCACAACCTCATATTGGGGATAATCTTGTATTTCTTCCTCATAAAACACTTTATAACTGGCACTGGTATGTTCTACTCGCGCTTCCATGTATACGGCACATTGACACCTAATGTCCCACACTTCATTGCGCAATTACTATTCCAAGTATGAAATCAACACTCCTCACTAAAATCTGACTGGACAAATGAGAAAGGAACACACTTTGGTCCTCCTTGCCTCAGTTTATGTCTCTGTGTGCTTAATGACCTTGACTTACAGCCTCATTAAGCTTTGTTAAGAGACTACTACCTGTCTCAAGAGTTCATTTCCATGCACAGGTCACGCAGATTAATTCATTCGAGTTGCCAAGGGAGAGGCTGAGCACTGAGACTATTATAATGACGGTATGGAGGTTAACACACATTAAATTTATCTAGAGCAGGTGGGATAGAAAATGTCCATATAAAAAAATTTCCATTGTTAGATTCTCAGCACTCTATTGAATTTTATCACGAAGACAATTTAATACGAGCAGGTTCACAGGAATATTCCATAAGACAGAAAACTAGAGTGGATCCTTAAACGCACCACAGATTTTATTTGTTTTTGGCTTACAGTTCTCCCATCACTACTAAGAATGAAGCGCTTCATTGCCTTCGTGATTCTTTGTAATAGCCAGGAGGCAAAGCAATCCAGACAGGACAGTGGGTCAAGTTGTGCTTCCAGGAGTAAAATAGAGAGATAAAGCCAAAAAAACAAAAAAGCTCCCAATGACTGTGAAGATCATCTCTAACAGCTGCGACTAAAGTTGTTTTCGCACATGCATTGCAGCCCTGAATGTTTCTAAGCAATATTAAATGAATCAGTTGAATTGGAAATTAAACAGCCCTCACTGTGTGAACTCCCCCAGTAAGTAGTCTAGTAATTAATGTCTGATTGAGCCCATGTGAGAACTGGGTAGATCACTGATTAGAGAAATCACAGTGAGTGAGTGTGTGGTCCATACCCAACCCACTGAGTAAAGCAGCAAATAGCATATTTCTAGTGCTGAGAATTCATCTGACACAGAGCCTCCTGTTGTGTGCTGGATGTGAGAAAGGGCAACTTTGTACAGATGGATTTTTGCCACACTGTCTGGAGTCTGGGGTGTAAAAATGGGTACAGAGCAGAGAAAATGTCACACCGCAATCCGTCCATGTAAGCGTTTTCACCCGGAAGCGAGAAATAAAAGGTCATTTTCATTCTAGAGTCTCAATGAATCTCACATCTCCCCGCCCCGTTATTTCAAAGATTTCAGATACAACCGCGGAAGCAACCGAGGGCTACCTTCCACAGAAGCGTATTATTAATAAATACTGGAAGTATAAATCATTCATAAGTCATCAATGACTTTCTTCACACACACACACACACACACACACGTGACTTCTCACCTCCTTTGTTCTTGAAGTACTCCGTGTCTTTCCACATGAGAGGGATCCGAAGATCTGTAAAGGCAACAGGCTGAAGATTAGACAACAGAGGACCAATTATGCCTTTCTTTATAGTCATGTGAAAAAGAAAGCTTTCACAGGACCCTCAATAGTCCCGTGAAAAATAAAGTATAGCCTTACTGCTTTCATAGGAATTAGGAGGATAAGTAGCACTCAGGTGCTGCTAATCAAATGCACTTGATTAGTTAACCATCAGCAAGTGTAGATGCCTCTATGAAAACAGAAGTTTAGACAGTTTGCAGGTCTGGAGCCTTCAGGTGTGTGCTAACACACAACCACTGTCTTCCCAGGACTGCACGTCCCAGCAAATTCACCCCAAGGTCAGAGTATGCAACGATGATAGAAACTGGAAAACACCTAAGAGCTGCATGTCAGACTCTACAGGCCACAGTTAACATCTTAAATGTCAAAGTTCATAACCTTAAAATTAGAAAAAGACTGGACAGGTATAGCTCATTTGGAAGTGTTGTCAGGAGAAAAACACATAGCTGTATAACACAGAATAGGATTGCTAAAAGTGATTCCACAAGCTACTGAATCATGGGAGTTTCTTTGCCACATGACTGTAAATATCCTGCAATAACAACGGATGCTCATATTAACTAAGTTGCAAACAAGGCACCAATCACTAGTGCAAACTTCAGGTTGCACTAAGCGCTCAGCTGCAGACACGTTTTTGGGTCTAAATGAATTAAAAGAAAGAGGATGTCGCTAATGCGGTCATCTCACAGCTCCAAACGTGCACAGAAAGTTCGCCTGCTGTTCAAATCTTCCATTTATGAGGGACTGCCAGTTGGAATAATGTGGAATTTTATGGCAGGGAGCCTTAAAGCGACAGGAGCTAAAATAACTTGTTCCAGACAGAACTGAACTGATGAACCGAGGGGCTGCATGAAGGCCCGGTTTACTGGGAATAATGCAGATTTATTGTCACAGAGTTTAAGAGTAAAAATATGGCTTCTTTTGGCTGCTCCCTTATTCACAAAAGTTCACCGCAGCAGGTAGCACTGCATGCTTGATTTGGCAGTTTTTTACCCTTCCTGATGCAACTGCAAAGGCATTTGTGCCACATCCCGTGACTGAACCACCGATCATTCGCTTGCTGGGTGAATGTGTAATCATTACAATAATGCTTTTCAAAATGTCTTTGTTTACTTACATTGCATTCTACAAGTAGACAAAATGACAGTAAAATTTGATCTGACTGTCTTGATCTCCAGAGTGATCTTTTATCAATGTGGTGGACAGCAGCAAGTCAGAAAGTACAAAGTAATTTAAAAATGAAACATCCGCCATTAAAGGCTGATGAGAGCAGCTCGGCATTAAATTACAGCAATAAGAGGAAGCTTAAATTTGATCCATTTCCTCCTTTTACTGCTGGTCACAGTCTCTTGGCAACAACAGTGCCACATTTAAATGATAAAATAACTTTAAAAGCTTTCTCAAAATCTTCCAAAATGCTGGGAAAATTTCCGCCCTGAACCTTCTCCAATCACTTTTCTCTCAGAAATAAACGCTTTTGTCTATTTCTCACCTGAGATGGCGACTTTTCCTTTACATGGGAGCCTGTCGTCCATCGGCCCTGCATCTGATGATCTGCGTGTGACTTTCTGCATGACCTGAGCCTCCTTCATCCTCTGCAGTTCTGACATGTAGGCCATGATACGAGTGCTGCATGTCTGTAGACTCTTTGCCGCTTCCAAAGCCTGGTCTTTTTGGGAGCAGGCAGCCAGCAGCTTGCAGGCTCCATCGCGCATTCGGATCTCATGATCAATCTTCTTCTGAATGTCGCTGTCCTGCAAAGACGAGAGCGGGACAACAGGCATTTATGAGTAATGAAGACCCATTTGAAAGTGAGGTACACAATAGATTCACTTCTCACTGATAGACATTTTAAAAAATGATGTTTTGGGAGAAATAAAGGCACAAAAAGGGTTAGAAATGACAACTTCAAGCAAAGAGTCTGTTTGCATTAGTTTGTGTATGTGTGTGCATGGCCTTTAGCCCTCTTAACAATGAGCCCACACCCCTGCTGAGCAGACACGTCCATGTTGAATCATTTAGTGCAAAGTCACTTGGCATACACTCACACAGACGGAGCAGTAACTCTCAAGTTGGGAGATAAAGAATGAAGCCATCAAACACTGAAAGTCTGTGTCCCGAAGATACCCCCAGATACTCAAATGTGCACATGCGTACTTTGCAATTTTAAACTGATTTCAAACAGATTTCCTAAAGAAAAAACAGCACTGCGCTATCAAACTAAATCTAGCCAATGTGCTCTAAGAAACCTGTCACATGGGTGTAGTAAAAAAACAAAAACAAAATAAACCCCCAAACTTTAACTTCGCTCAGAAATGAAAACACAATGTAGATATACAGTACTCACAAGTATTCACAAACACAAGAATAAACGCAGGAATCAAATGAAGCTCAAGAAAAAGAAAAGTTTGACTAAGCTTAAGGGTTCATGCTAATCCATCCTGCCTGCAAAAGCATTTGTGTAAATTCCAGTTAAGAAGTATAGAACAGTAAGGTTATCTTTAAATTGAAAACAATCTGTTATTATTATCATTATTACTATTATTATTATTACTTTTATTGTTGAGCAGATGGTGTTCAACCTCTCCCTGACTGCTGAAGCACGTGTGTGAGAGCGTGTCTGCTCGCCATCTCCGGCGATACATTAACAAGAATCCGCTGTCCTCAAATATAACCTCTAATGCTCCGAGCCCTCTCTGCCTGATAAATGCCTCGTCCTTTCTCCGCTTCTCCAATATTACTCATTTATCTTCTCTCTCTGTCTGATTCCTATGAATTTTTTATTCTTTTCATTTAAGCTTTTATAATTCACCTCCTCTTAGACCCCATCCGTTCCACTCCACCGTCCTCAATCGGCTTTTCTTTCTTGTCCTCCACATGCTCTTTCTCCTTTCTACCTGGCTCTCTCTCTCTCTCTTTCTTTCTTTAAGAATAAGTCACTTTTGTTCAGCAGAGCCAGCAGGAGGGGAATGAATTTGATTTCAATGGAAAAGTTTACATTTGGACGCAGATTCTCGCTGGACTGCACTACAACCTGAGGTTTTGTGTGATTAACCGCTGCACTGAAATCAATGCTTCTTAGGATATGACCACATTGTTTCTGCGTGGTGGTGAAAGCTATACTAGAAATTATAAATCATACATGAATTAAATAACTCCTTGCCTAGAAGAAACCACCAAAAACACTGTCTGTCACAAGCGCTCCAGCAGTACTTGCTCCTTACTTGCTACAGTAACAGGATATCACATTAAAAAGGGATGAATGTGAGATTTCTCCACAGAAACACTCTAACAGCAGAACTATCAGGCACAGCGGTGAGATAATGATCACTCTAGAGTCATGCACAATCTACACTGCAGCTGTTAAACACAACGTGGCTAAACAAATAGCCCCCATCATTAAATAAACGCTTTTATTGCCCCAAAAACAATTACAGCACTCTTGAAAAATCAAGGTGATCAAATTGTAACAACAGTATAAACATAACAGTTATCTACTGGATGACTATGAGGTACAAGAGGAAATTTTAATTTTCAAGGTCAAGCACTGTTTCATGAGCATTTACTTTGCAGCGGTTTAGGCAATAACGGCTGTGTGTTGAGTTATTTAGAGGGGACAGCAAATTTACACTGTTATACAAGCTGTACACTGACTACTTTACATATCTTCGATGTTGTCTCATAAAGAGATATAACAAAATATTAACATTGAACATAAACAAATAGCTGAAGGAACTATTGCCCAGGACCACTTTAAAAAGGGAGTGGCTCAAGACATTTGCACAATACTATACATGGCATTAAAATGCATGTGAAAAACAAAAGAATTTGCAGTAAAATGTGAAATTTTATGTCAAACTTTCCATGATACCAAGTGTTCTTGATGCTTGAGATGCCTAATGTAGACATTTCACTTATTTATCATAGGTTACAGGTTATATGTGAATGCAGGCAATGAGTAAGTTAGTGATAAAATTACTGGATCTTTTTTATGTTATATGGGTAAAGCAAGAAAAAGGACAAAAGAAATTTGGAATGAAAGGCCAATGTCTTTGTTAGCAGTAATGCCGCAAACCACACATGCAGCACTAGACGTAAGCTTGCCTGGACAGCTCTCAAGAATGCATACACTCCCATAAAAACACACACTCACACATGCATAGGGAGCAAAGAAATTGTCCAGGTCGGTGCAGTAGGTCTTAGAGTGACCTGCTGGGAGGAAGTCCTGTATTTATAGCTGCTAATTTAACAGGCTTTTCCTTCTGGGGATCTCAGAATAGAATTCAAGCAGCCTAGATCCACGTCTAATCCAGAAGTCTGGCTCTACGTCAGGTCAGTAGGGTACAAAAAAACAGACTGAGTTCAACACTTAACAACACAGACATACACACATGCCATAACGAATCGATATTTTCTTTTCATGATCTTTTATAAATACACAGAGGCGTGGACAAACACAACCTCGTAAGCTCACACGCGCTGTGTGTTCAGAGCGGCAGGTGTTAGACCAGTGGGCTTTTCTGACTGCCTGTGATGATTGCAGCACGGACAGAAGAAAGAACGAAGATGCAGGAAGGGTGGTTAGGCGACAGGGATGCAGGGCATGCTGAGTATCACGCAGAGACACAGACGGGAAGCGGAGCCGTCAGAGGAAACAGGGAGAATCTTGAGGAAAACAGCAGAAAAGAGGAACAGAGACAAAAGGAGGAGATATGTGTTGACAGGGTGAAAGGTGTGGGCGGAGGACGAGAGGAGAAGAGAGGAAACTGTGAAGGGGAACTGCAAGAATTGAGAAAAGAAAAGTAACAAAAAATGTGATTATATTTTTAAAAGGTTAGGTACAAAGGATCCAGGTGAGGAAGAATGACGGAAAACTGAAGGGTTGATGGAAAACAAAAGTGGCAGCTAAAGAGACAAAAATTTGGCAAGAGGAAAAAGGTGCTTGTTTATATAACAACTCTGCTGTAGATGTAATTAAGCAGAAAGCTCTGTGAATGAGCAGGGGTGAAGAGGGAAAAAAGAACAAACATGAATGAAGACATGAGAGTCTTTTCAAAGCTTAATGCTTAAAGGAAGAAAATCGCATAATTAAGAGGTTGGCCATTTAGATGTTGTAAAGGTATGTGTAGCAACAATGTTAGAAGCTCTGTGAGGTTTAGTGGTGCTCAGGGCTAATTGCTACCAGCATGACAACCCTAAGAAAACATAAAGTTTATGTGTAATGCATCTCAGTTTAAGACGCTCATATTTGTAGATGTGTGGAGAGGAAAAGACAAAGAGCCTGATGCAAAGCAAAGCTGAAACAGATGGGAAATCATTTAGTGTTATAGCATTTAGTCAACCTGAGTACATAAATAGGAATTTTTACTTGTTATACACCATACAAAACATCAAGGGAATCACCAGAGTGATTAAAAATTACCCCAAGGGAGACATAAATATGCGCACCAGAATTATGTATCCAGCCACACAAAGCTGCTGGCTCTAGTGGGTGACACATTTTTCTCAAAACCACAGAAATCAATCTGATTGCGGTATTAGAGGAAAACACTCTCCATGTTCAAAACAACAGGATTCATCATGAATGTGCTAATCTGTCCTCCAGATGATAAGACATTTAATAAAGGCAAGAGTAAAGTGTGACCTGCTGCTAGCCCTTTGTAGATAGATTTGGTTATCAGTGATGTTTACAGGGTTCATCAAATCATCTGTGGAAAATTTCATGGCCGTCCTTCCTGTCTAAATATTTTATTTAAACCACAAATTGTTTTTCCTCAGATTGTAACTCTGCTGGGGTGCAGATAATTGTTCGATAATGGAACTATTTAAGAGCGTCATTATGGCGCACACAGTATATGCATAATGCTAATGTAACCTTTCAGAAGGTAATTTGATGCCTCAGTGGCTACCAGATGGTCACTTTCTGTCACCTGTCTGTCCCCGTCTGGCTGTGTTGATCCTCACTTGCGTGTCTGTGGGTGTGATCACAGAGACACCAACACGCACACCTACACAAACAAGCACAGACACACGCGCTGCTCCGGGATTTGACGCCGCTGCAGATGGTGTGTAATGGTTTGTTTACGATGTGCTGTTCTGCGTGAATAGCCTTTCCTGTTCAGATCGCTGACCCTTGACCTCTAACCTCTATCTCTACACAGGCCAGACGGCTGTAGTTAAAGCGTGGGATTAGACCTAGGGGTTAGGGTTATTACATAATAATTCAAACAGCCTGTGGGTGAAATTCACGCAGGGCAGGATGAACAGTTAATACTAGGTCGGGAAGAATGTTCACAGGTAACAGGATGAATCCCTCTGCTTAATTATGCTAAAACGCTACACACATATATTGAGCATATCTAACTGTCAGTGTGTTAGAGAGCTAATGCTAATATTCAGTGACCGCTCTGCCCACGTGCAGACTCACAGAGCTGCCAGTGTGGCTGTAGTGTGGACCCTGTGGTCTTGTTAGATTACTGCATCCCTAGCATGTTCACAGTGAAGCGTGGGATGAAACATGTAGTATATACCACAGAAATCAATGATGATACCAGCAGTAAATATTGTCCTCCTGCTCGCCTCACCCTGTAAGGTTGTAAGAGTACACAAAGGCGATTGTGTAAACTGGGATGGAACGAGTATCCTTCACCAGTACAAAGAATGATTTCTCTTAAGACCACTGAACCATACCACCTTTTCTTTCTTTGCTGACTCTTAACTCCTTGTGAACGAACACCACAGCTGACTGGCCAAAGAAAAAAAAAGGTTAGCAGAAAAGGGACAG